ATAAAAATATAAATCCAGACAGGTATAAGTACAGTATCTTGTTCGTTGGTGCTCAAGGGAAATAACTGATTATGAGTAAGATTAAACACTACCATGCCAAGCTACAGTAGTACACTTAAGAGCTTTAATAATGGAGTAAATAAACATTATAGGTATTTCAACAATGTATGTTGATATAAGCCACAATGGTTTGAGTACCTTTGTCTAGGACATTTTAAATGTGTTTCGAGGTTTTTGTGAGTTAACTGTTCTCAACAATAGACTGGATTGGTACAGCTATTGCTCTGTTAAGTAATACACAGTACTCTTCTGGATGAGGAGTCCTGGCACAACATACACCAGTGTGTGCCTGCGTGTCTACAGAGGGACAACTTCAGGCTGTTCTTTTCACTTCAGTGGAAAACTGACCTCAGCATTTTTAAAAAGCCTGTTAGGAAACATGTAGCCTGCAGATTATTATCATAGCTTTATTTTTCTTCTCACTTGAATTAATGGGGGAAAAAAAAAAAAAAAACAATAAATCCCCTACTAAATCCCCTATATCCAAAGTACTGCAAATATTTTAATATGTAGAGAAAGTATGTTTCTGGCCTGAAGTAAATAAAAAACCAAAATGTCCCTTAGGACAAACACTTCTAGTAAAGTTATAAGTCTTTCAACACAACAGCTCATTATCGGAAAATAAAGATATCTTTTCATTAAAATAATATTTTAATGCATGAAATATTGAAATAGTGGAGTAAAATCTGGCTACATCATTCTCAGTAGGCAAAACAATGGGCACTGAAAATTACAAGTATTACATTCTGTTCAATTTCTGTCATGCCAGGCAGCATATTTTTCAGCAAGCGGCTATGGTGGTGAAGAAAACTTTTTTTCCTATGGCATGGAGGTAAATGAAAAATTTGTGCGTATTAAATACTATCCTAAAAAGAAAGAAAATCTGTGCAATTGTGCATGTTTTAAGACTAGAGCTTCTGACATAAAACACAGAGCCTAAGTCAATGTAAACCCATAGTAAAACAACAAGTATTCTTAATTCATCTACCGGTACAGGGTAAAAAATATCAACTGATTTGGAACACGTCGAAAGCACTGAATAAAGAAAGGTGCAAAAGGTTGCAGATAATCATGATCAATCTGAGTAATTATATTGAAATAATATTCAAAGAAACAAGACAAGCGTCATTCTGAAATCAAACAGGTGGGCTTCAGGCTGTTCTGGTGGTAAATTAATTACATGCACTAATGCCACTTGGTGAATTCTGTGTGTACACAGCAACAAGACAACAAACACATTTTAGTCTATCTTTTATATGAAGAATTTAATTATCTATACATGTAACTAATTTTAAAGGCTGTATTACAGTTGTTAAAGCTGCAGGGTTTTATATATATTTATATAATTTACATTCATATTGATGAAATACTGAAGTGCAATTGAATAAGGAGCTTCACTTGTTCTTTGCACCACGTGCTGGGTCAGAAGGAAGGAGACAGGGTAGGATTAGAAACGCTACAACACTGCCGGCATGAAATTTAGAAATATATGAAATACATAAACCAGAACATAACTAAATGGTAATTAGTAAAAGAGCTATATTGTGCTTGAGGCATTGGGAAGAGAGGGTTTCTGCACTGTCAGCACCAGGCATTTCATCAAGAGCTTGTAACTAATGCTGGAAAGACAAACAGGGCTTAGCTACAGCACATCTACTACATAAACTTGACTGTAAGCTCCATTTAATATTAATTTGTATAAATTCCACAGTCTAGTTTAAAAAAATGTAAACATTGGAAATTAATTGCAGGGAGATATTTCTATACATTCTTTCTTGTCAGGAAAATTACTTGTTCAAAATGTGTTGTTCCATAGTCATAAGAAAGTAAAAATGAGAAATCAAACTTCATGTAACCAAGATGAAAATAAAGAAGTTAATTCTCAAATCCCACATGAATGTAGCATTCTATTGATTTGTGACACAAAAATGCAAAAAACCAAAACATCTGAGACAAACACAAACCAAGGTGTTTTCTAACTGTATGCAGCTACAAGTAATGTGCAAAATAAAATTAACATAACTGGGATAACAACATTATGCAAGGTTAATATCTCTTGCACTGGAAGGAAGTTAATTTCTTCTTTCCACAATGTATTACACACTCAACAAGGAACACCTGATACATACAGTACAATAACTACAACAAAATACCTTATCTGTAATTGGGCACATTTAAAGTTCCTTAAACTGATTTAACTCCTTCTGTTCTTTTGTAATTAAAAAAAAAATAAAAAAGAAAAAAAGAAAAAAAAAGACTTATTGACAACACTGGACAAGTGAACAATAAAAAAGAAACATACACAAAGTCTCAAATTTATGGACATTTGGAACAATTTTAATAGCACATGCAGCATTCCTTGATAGTGGGTCTTTTTGCACAAACAAAATTGCAATGAAGAAATTTAATTTATCGTTTTCTTTTAAAAGGCTAAAATATATATTTAACAATAATTTTAAAACTACCGAAAGCACCTGTGCAAAGGTGGAAAAAATTAGTCTGGTAACTATGTGAAAGCCACAAAAGGACCCACTATCCTCTGATTTTTTTGTGTTTTTTTGTTTCATTTTAATTTTGCGTCTATATCTGTAGGTAATTAACTCAAACATTGCGATTACATGCAACTAATGTAAAATGAGGTAAACTGCTCTGCAGTGTGTTCTTCTACTCAGAAGGCAGTAGATGATCATGCTGGAAGCCACATGATCAAGGCTGCATCTCCCATCATCCCTCTGGGCAGTGATATGGGATAGTGGGTCTCTTTGAGGACTTTCAAGCCTGAGTGGGGGATGGACAACATATGATTCCTAGAAAAAGGAGGAAAACAACACATAAGCAAAACAAAACAATGAGCAAATTCAAGCTAGGAAAATGAGTCAGGCATGTAAACAGCATGGTGCAAAAATGATAAAGGGTAACATGCTACAAAGGGGATGGGAACTAAAAATAAAACAAACATAAAATAAGGTTTGCATTACAGAAGGTCTTCAAAGAGACTCTGACAAGTGCAGCAGTGGTGAAGCTTTGAATTCTGCAAACCACAGCAGAATCACAGCAATGCTGCATGTTTCATCTTAAAGTACTACACAAATAATCACAGCACGGCAGCAGAGAGGGTCACTTACATTGCTGGCTTGGGTCCATGTCTGTTGTTAGCTTCACATAGTTGGATGGAAAGAGACCCACTTGTCCATTCACCTCCCCTTTCCACCAGTCTGGGTCTTCCTTGTTAAGGACGTTTATAATCTGGCCTTTATTGAATGCTAGCTCATCGTCATTCTGTGCAGTGTAGTCATACATGCCAATTACTTGGCACACTGTAAGATAAAGGAAGAGGTCTATCGCACTGGTAACATTTCAGCAAAATATAAGCTGTACATAAACCAACTGCCAACACTATAGATGTCACAGTATAGTTCCAAGACACTACACTGATCTGAACCAGCCCTGCCCCTCTTTCCTGTGCCTGTGTACTGTTGCTTAGCTAAGCCCTCAAAAAACTGGCTCAAGGTGATTTAAAAAACTGAAGAGTTTCCTAGCAGCATTGCTCTCTCAGTCAGCTGACTGAGGGGTCAGGATCATACTAAGGAGGGCAGAGCACAGCAGGGCAAACTGAGAACAGTGTAACCTCCCTGGAACTCTACCCAAGATATTTTTGTTTGGGAGTGCTCAACAGTAGGAGAAGATTGGAAAAATTTTGAGCAAAAAGTCAGACACTTCAAGGATGTTAGCTTTTTATTGACACTTCTCTTTCACTTTATATATATATATTTTTTTTTCCCCACAAAAGCACCAGATTTGTTGTACATTTATAAAAATAGCATTTTGCATCCTCACCAACCTGTTCTGAAAAGTATCCTTTCCAACAGAACCAGTCAATGGGCAGAAAAATCTGGGAAGCTTGAAGTTCTACTACCTGAAGCCCGAAAAAGGTATTCCTTCCTAATTTAGCACTGGACATGCTTAACACAGCTCTATAATTCAAGAGAAAACTAATGGTGATATCCTTATAGTACCACTGAGGTGTTAGGAACACAAAGATCTTGGAAAGGATGAGAAAAATAAAAAGCATCCTAGGCCATTTTATGCTGCCTTTCTGGTAGCACATGACTACTTCAGCAGCCTATTTTCTACTTCCTACTGTGAAACTCATCAAAATGTGACTGGTTCTCAGAACAGAGCTATTTCTGTTCAATTATAATAGATTCTTAATTCTCTAAAGCAGAAGGACTGTTTATTTAACTATATATTTTCCTCTATTTCTCTTATATTTTCTCTATGCCAAGTCACAGGGCTTCTGGTATTTTGCCTTGAGACACAAGACTTCTATATAATTAACCTTGCTGTCGGGTTCTCTCCATTATATTAATCCTAAAGTTTTCTTTTATTTTAATTCTTGCACTCAGACAGCAACTTATTTAAATTTGTCAAATAGCTCCTCTTTTTTTATTTGTATTTCAAAAATCATTTGACTCAGTTAATACATTCTGCCTGTTCATGAAGATAATAAGCAAATGAACTCCACATTAACAGGACTCTGCATTTGTCTCGATACTTAGCTTTGTTACTAGCAAAAGGGAAAGAAAAAAAAAGTTTAAAAAGGGGCATTGTGGGCACTCTGTCATTTGTCACACTTAACACATCAAATAACTGACGTGTACATTTCCCTGGCATACTGGAGATAAAGCAGCATTTCTAAAAGAATGTATGTTATGGTGTACTCCTGGTTTAGGTAAGTTTTGTGCTAACGTAAGTTCAAATGGGTGAACAACACTGATGTTCACATTTCACTTTCAAGACTTGTGAATCTATTTTACAGCACTCTTTTAACAAGTTTACAGGTTATTACTAACATTAAGAATGATAAAAAGTTTAAGCTAGACCGTACCTGAATACAGTAAGTATACTAACAGATTTGTAACCTATTCTAGAGTTAATTTCTTTCAAGAATTCTTCATTCAGATCATTCTCTTCTACTTCAAAGAATTTTATTAAATTTGGTGCTGTCCAGTAATATCAACAGAATATCTAAATAGTCCAGTGGGACCCTAAGAATCACCTTAAACTTGGGGAGGTAATTTAGGAGAATTCTTAAAGAGACAGGACTCCTCAATTGAACCTCAAGTAGTGACCTCATTGTGATCTTATTTACTTTTGGTCCCAAAGCTTAGAATACACCTTAGTCCTATATAGGAAGTACTTACAGTAATCCCAGCAAGAAAGTTCTTCGCTTATTTTAAGCTCCAAAAGCCACTGCTACCTACAGAAGCAAGCTATAGCCTACCTTCCCTGAGCTCCAGTGCTTTTCAGCCATTTGTTTCCTTTTTAGAAAGGTTGTCTAGTGATTAATACTAGTCTTAACTGCAACAGCAGAGGGAATCCAGGTTCTCATACAACACTCATGATCAGTACAATCTATAATATTGCCTTTCTTTAAACAAGCAGAATGGTTGAAACACGTTTCCCACTATTGCTATATTCTGAACTTCCTTATGCCTGACTAACTTCAAGTGGCAGTAACAGTTCTTTTAATTTCTCAACACCAGGAAGGACGTGTTCATGACGCAAGTTTAGAAGGCAATACATACAAAGCACTCAGAAATTAAGAAAACCTCAAAGCATAACGCAAAAGCATTAATGCAACAAAATTAAAGAAAAAAAAAGCTTTTAAAATCATGCAGTTTGCATTGCAGTATGGCAGATGGAGAGCATATATATCAAAACAAAATGACAAAAGAAACAGAGGTTTTAATTATGCTAGTTTCTGATGGATCCCCTACCTTCAAAACCCAGACAGTAATGGCACACTCTTGGACTCTTCATAATGCACCATCTTGGACATTATTTAACCCTTGTAGATGGTTTTCTTCAGGCTTTCCATGTCTTTTGCTAAAAGATCCCCACTAACATAATTCTGAGATGCCTCTCAAGCATCAACCTCCTAACCTCTTACATTAACCACATGGTTAGTGAGGCCATCTATCATAATGGAAAGACAAGATTCTTTTTCTCACCCTCCAAAATGAAAGATCTGTAACAAAGCTGGATTTAATAAAAATGAATGCCACTAAGATTTTGATGCTCTGTAGGCAATGAAAGAGGTGCTAAAAAATTTATGCTGTAAAAGTTTTATTAGCATAAAGTCCCAGATCGTCAAATCCAAAAATAATTTGGGGGGAAAAAAAAATCCCATCATAGTGCCTTGTTTGTAAAAGTATGTGTCTCAATGCTGAGTTACCATTTTAACTGCAGGACCCAAACTCATGAGTCTTCATAGAAATCTGATTTTCTGCATCTTTTTGACTACCATCAAAGGAGCCAATTAGCACCATTTATAGTGTTTGCCTTCTTTCATATGGTACTTGTATTTATACCAATGACACATGAAACTAAAACCTCAGTATTTTATTCTAATTCCAGAAACTGCATGATGACCCTTCATTCGTATTTAAAGGAGAAAATTAGGCTCACTACCATTTTTCATTTAGAAACATTTATTTCACTTTAATGATAGCCAGTCAAAAAATGGCCTGGGGAAGCAGCAAGCTTTTGCCCCCTGCAACACCCAACTAAATCCAAACAGATGACAGACAAGCACATCAAGTCTTTTGAGTGGCTTATGGAAGAAAATACATCCATTCTACATGGTTTTGATTGACAAGAATCCTCTTAGTCCTATACCAACTCACAAAAAAGTTCAGCGTTTAAACAGTTGCGAGGATTGAACTTTTTGTTCTCAGTCTTCTGCCTGGCTTTATACCTTGCAGTAGACTGACATGACTGATTGATACTGACAGTGGTGGAGCTGTAACAAATCAGTGTAAAAATATAATGGTTTATCACTCTTGTATTTTTTCAGAAACCTTAGAATAAGCAGCTATACAGGACAAAAAGGTACATCTTCATTTGAGTGGTTTTCTCACACTTCACCTTAGGAAAAATAAAAGGTTCTGAATAAAAAGCGCCTCAACTGCTAAGTCCATGGACCATCCTGAACATTTATGAACACCTTTACTACAATTAGTGCAAAAAAACAGGCCTGATAATTTGAATGTTTTACTCTTTAAGAGGTAATGTCACAGATGGCTTTAGCACTCAACAGTTCATACCTGAGGGACCAGCACCATAAATATACAGACCAATTGTATGTTCTTCTCATTTAAAAGAAAAAAAATTAAAATGAAGAGTTTTACCAAAGTGACTAGTACAACAGATACTAAATATCCCACTGAATGTCCATCATTATTTTTGGAAGTCCTATTTTAAATGACACACATCACAAAAGCAACTTCATTAATTGATCTGCATTACTTACCTGAAGGTAACGCTGTTGATTTAGGTAGCTCGGTTGGTGTAGTTTTACTGGTACCAGGGCTCAAAAGTTTTACATAATTAGCAGGGAACCATCCTATTTGCCGCTTTTTCCCTCGTGCCTAGTAAAAAAACAATTCTTTTAAGAGGATTAAGGACATCAGTAGATCCGTAGGCAAGGTGATTCAGGCAATACTTTTAACTACTTGCAATCACACTGACTATTTTAGAATAAGAAAAATACATTTTGTAAGAAAATAATCAGCTATTTTTGTAGCAATAGTTTAATATTATGATACTCCTATTACGTGAAGTAAGCTTTCATAATACTTAAACAGTAGTTATTTTCTACTAATTTGAGTGATTTTTCACTTAACAGCGTTCCTACTTTGTATGTTTTATAACTAATACTACAACCCTGATCCTTCTGCTAAATTTCTCCTGATTCTGTTTCAAACATAACTCTAGAATATTGGGCTAGCTCTTTCATTGAGAGGCAGTATGTAAATGCTTTTTCATTATACAAAGATTTGCATTTAAATAGGTATCTAGATTGTAATAGTTTAAATAGAGATTAAGAATCCCAAATAACTCTTTTCTCTTAAAGAAACAGTATCTAAACTTTTAAATAGCTTCTCCTGCTTAAAAAATAGAGTATAAACATACGTCACATTAACCAAGTAACAGGAGAACAGCAAAACATTATGGCAAGAAAAAAATGGGTAAAGTTTGGATTCAAATACAAAATCCCTACGATAGATTCCAATAAAACAAAAATTAAGCTTCAGCATCTAGAAATACATATGGATAGACACGATCCAGGTGATCCTAATTAACAGATGTTAAGGTTTTGGAAAGTACACTAGATGTTCTCATGCCTATATAATCAGAGAGTATAAAAACACGGTGGACATGTATTAGTATGCCTGCGGTCCATGTGTGTGTGCTGAGAGCAGCAGGTTACCATACACCTGGCCTACAGCAGTGCTCTACAGTTTGTAACACAGCTGCAATTAGTCACTGTCAGAGACAGGACATTAGAGCAGACAAACTGCATATCCAATCCAGTGCAGTCAAAGCTTACGTCACCAAAGCAGGATAGGAATTTGACAGAAACTGCATCCTCTTGTTGCACCAACTGCATTTTTCATTCCAAACAAAATTGGAAGAAAAATCCTTACTGTAAGAAAGGTTATTCTAAAACTCAAATCTCAGCGTCTAAATATATTAAATCTATGTTAAAATTACTTTAGCTACTTATTCACTTTTTGTGTTGTTAGAATAAGGCTGGAATTTTGTGCATGTAGAATTTTGCCTTTTAAAACAAAATAGATGTTAATTTTAGTGGAAAAAAGTCATCTAATGCATATACTACGTCCTTCCCTCTCTTTTTCTTTACTGAAAAAGCATTTGATCTAAAGCATATCTAGGTCATTCATTTTAAGATATTCTGGAAGACTGCATTAAACATTATAATGTGTAATGCTTAACATATTTACCTTAATTTACCTTCACTCTGATCTCTAAGACAAGTATGATCAAAATTTACTTGAGGTTGAAACTGAACTGTACAGATACTCCTAAATAGTCTGCCACTTTGAAATTAAATGCATAAAGACAATATTAGTGCTCTTCTCCAAATCTTGTCCTCATTTCACTATTGGGGGGGGAGGGGGGGGCGGGGGATGGACGGGGACAGATGTGGTTTGCTGATTTTATTTTTAATCAACTCCTCAATCCATTTCACCATACTGCTGCATTTGGGAGCCTTTGTACTCCCATAACAAAGGAGCAAGAACTAGTATGACAGCGTTGGAACAAAAGAATAAAAAGAATATGTAGGGGACTGCTAATGAAGACAAAAAAAACCCCAATTTGTAAAACTGTACATAAGACAGTAAGGTACCCAAAGTTACATACGAGTATTTACACAACCAAAAATTAATTTTAAAAAATCCTTACATTAGCTGCTAAGTGGTAACGGTGACAGCTCTTGCCCAGTGAAACTTACTTTCTATCTTAAAATACATTTAATGTGAGACTCTTTAAAGCTACAAGTTAACAACAACATAAAGGTTAGTGAGAATGAAAATCAAAGCAATCCTGGAAGATTGTTTCTCCACAAAAGACAGGAAAAAAACATCACCAGGAAAGGCAAAAAGGGCAGGTAGTAATTCAGAAAAATATTTGAGTTAGGTCAAGCATCTGCACTCTAGAAACAAATCATTCTTCCATGTAACATTCCCTGTTAAAAAAAAAAAAAACAAAACCAAACAAAATATCATTCAGTGGTACAGAGCACGACTGAAGGGGAGGGGGGAAGGGCCAAAAAAAAAAAAAAAAAAAAGCTTTGCCACTGGAAGTCATTGAGAATCAAAGTGTTCTACTCTAAAAAAAAATGGTTAAAATATTTTATTATTATTTTCTAATACAACACTGAAGCTGTCTCCTATTCGATGCTTGCAACAAACACCATTGGTTTCACTCTTCTACATTAAATTGAGCTGTTGCTGACCTGGGGCCATTAGACTGGTACCCTACACTATCACATTCATTAAGAAACCTGAAAAAGTGGTGTCCATCTTGCAAAAACCACTGCTGTAAAATACTTCTCAATCTTTAAAAAAAAGAGATAGCCAAACTTCTGGCTGAAGCAATTCAGAAAGCTTCTTAGGAAGACATTCAGGATTGTGCACCCCAATACTCCTTCCACTTTCACAGTGCACACGCCATCAGCTGACCCACATGCACGTGATGCGCATGGTCACTGTTGAACGGGACACACACGCAGACCTTACCACTTAACACAACAGTCCCATGCACTCCTGTTGCATGGC